CCGGGGAGTGCATGCCTCACCCAAAGGCATTCACATTTTAAAAACATACTAAAAATACTGTTCAGCTAAATAAAACCTGTCTGTGGCCCACATGTGAAGCCCCAGCTTATGACTTTTCCAGTGGATATTTGTTGAATGAGCGAGTAAAGAATCTACAAGGAAATCATTGTAAAAGCTCAAAAAAGCAAGGAGGAAGGGGGGCAGAGCTGAAAGGACCTCCTTTCAGCCCTGTCTTCACCCTCTCGAGGGCAAGGTCTCCCTCAGGCTCTCTTTCCTCTTCCTCCCTAGCACTCGGCAAACAGTAGCTGTACAGAAGACCCACTCGGCGTTTACTAAACACCTACTCTGCACCAAGTCCAGATTCAACCAGACACTGTCCTCCGTCTTGAAGCTCAGTGTGGTGGGACAGCCAGCCAGTCAGGCAATGACAGCACAGTGATGGATGTTCCAGCAATAGCATGTGAAAGGGCTATGGGAGCCTTTGCCTCCCAACTTTTTTAGCAAGTAGGGAGAGGATTCAGTAGGTGAGTATACAAGATATGCTCCCAGCAAGGATGAAGGGGCTGGAGCTGGTGAAAAGGGACAGGAACCTCCAGCATGTGCCTGCATGGTAACTCAAGGTGTGGCTGGAGGTCTGCAGGGCGGGCAGACGGGGACTGCTACGGTCAGATTGGGAGGATCCAGGGTAGGGGGGACAGGTGTTCATGCATGGCAGCTCCTTGCCACCAACATTTCTGAGCCAGGCTGGCTTGAAATCAGTCTTCCCCCTGTTGCACTGGGCTTTCATCTCCCTCTGGGCCAGAATTTGACCATTTCACTGATGGGCTAAAACCTGGAGATGGGGCAGGGACTTGCCCTCTTCACATATCAGGTTCTAGTGCAGTATAGCTGGGTCTAGACTTCAAGCCTCAGGCCAGGGCCCCTTTTCTGTATCTCAAGCCAGTCCTGGGAGGAAGCTACAGGTATCGCTTCACAAACTTACGCATCGCCTAAGGAGGCGGCTCCCTTTTCCTCCCAGACCTCATCTTAGGGAGCTGACTCCTTAAGCTCCTGGGAAAAAAACCACAGCTGAGGCCCAGGGCTCCTACATCTGAATCCCCTGTCTGGTCCTTTCCCTAGCTCTGACAGAGCGTTCTAACTGGATCAACTTCTAGGGGTCCACAAACCCGCTAAAGCCCTATGCAAGCTTCATGAGGGCAGCAGACAGAGTGGAAGAAACATTGTTTTGGCAGCCCAACAAGCATGGATCCCAAATTTGACCCTACCATTTCTAGTTGCACGCCATCTGAGCAAGTTGTTGCACCTCTCAGCCTCAGTTTCCTCACCTGTGAAATGGGGGTAATTCTTATCCTCCAACATAGGGCCAAATGTGACCTGGCTAATAGATAGCAGGTATTCAGGAATTGTTAGCATCCTTCTGACTTTCTCCCTCTGGCTCATGCTGCTTCATGGATGGCTTGGAGATTTGTTTATAAAGGTCTCTGGGTTGCTCTCCAGACTCACAGAATCTAGGGTAACACTATCCTGCCCTGAGCCTTTGGAGGAAGGGACACAGCCTCTGGGTGTCATTTCTCAGGCTAGGGTGAGTGGTCCTGAGTGGTCATGCTACCATGAAGAACTTCAGCAGGGGACGAATCTCCGCTCTGTTGTAGCTGACTGTAAGGGCGTGCGAAGGGGGACATGGAGCCCTGGTTTTAATAAATCTGAGAGTTTGGAGGCCCACTGGGGGCCTGGGCCTCCAGGTCTGCAGACCTTCCCTCCTGGGAGGTCTCCCGAGATGTCTCCAGAGACCCCTCCGACACCCCATCAACGCTGCTCAGCAAGTCTTCAAATTCCCGGTGGCCGCTGTTGCGCACGGCTGCTTCCAGAGCCTTCTGGCGCCGGTAGAAATGAGAGAACTTATTGAAGATGATGGTGATGGGGAGGGCCACCACCAGGATGCCCCCTAGGATGCAGCCCGAAGCTGCCAGCTTGCCAGCCACCGTCACCGGCACCACGTCCCCGTAGCCCACAGTGGTCATGCTCACGGTGCCCCACCACCAGCAGGCCGGGATGGTGTCAAAGCCGACGTCTTCCTCCTTCTCAGCCGTGTAGGCCACACCGGAGAACACTGACACGCCCACAGCCAGGTACAGCAGCAAGATGCCCACCTCACGGTAGCTGTGCTGCAAGAGAAGCAGGAAGCAGAGTCAGAGCTGGGGGCTTACTGACCTGGCATTTGACATATGGGGAAACTGAGGCCCAGAGAGTGGAAGGGATAGGTCCACAGTCACAGAACAAGGTAGAGCTGGTGCCAGGACCTAGGTCCCCTGACTCCAAATCTAGGTCTTTCAACTAAAAAAGCAGCAAAACTCCCTGGCACTGAACAGTCCTGATTTCCATTGTCCAAGGTGCCTGCTAAGCCACATTTGTTTCTTTTAACGCAGGTAGCACCAGCCAGTTAATGAAAAGCTTGTGATTTTTACACTGTTGCAGAATCAAGAGAGTAACATAATTTATATCCCACAATGCAAAGGGTTGGTTTTGTGGACTTTTCACTGGTTGATCTCATTTCTGATCAGTATAGAAATATTTTCTGCCTCTCAAGCTGAGAGGATTTCCATGTTCCCTAGGCCCCTCACTGAATGCACTTGCCTATGGGTATGTATATTTGCTCTGCCCCTGTGGCCAAGCTCTAGGGCAGTGGTTCTCAAACAAGGCAAGTTCTGCCACCCCGCAAGGAGTATCTGGCAATATCTGGAGACATTTTTGATTGTCACAACTGGGACAGGTGTGCTACCAGCATCTAGTGGGTAGAGGCCAAGGATGCTGCTAAACATCCTACAACGCACAAGACAGCCTGCACAACAAAGAATTACTTGGCCCCAAATGTTAGTAGAGGCTGAGAACTCCTAGTCCAGAGCAGGACTCCCAAAATGTTTAAAGGGCAGAACCCGACTGAGGAGGTCTAGCATAAGGCAAGGGATTCCGCAATCCTAGCAAGCTTCCAGCTAATGAGAAAGCTGCTGGTGGTCAGGGGCCTCACTTTGAGTAGCAAGGCTCTCATCTGGTATCTTACAGCTGTGTCTTGGACTTTGGAAGCCTCCATCAATACTCTTCTCCCTCCTCACAGAATGAGCTGGTAGCACTGGGCCCTGGATCCCTGCATGGTGGAGGCAAGGCAGAGTTCTGGGATGGAGGGATCATCTCTGGAGAGGTGTGGAATTAAGGGTGTCTGGCTAATGGAATTCTCTGTACCCATCCATTGCCCCAGCATTCTGCCCAGGTCCCCTGCCTACACCCAGCATTCTGGCTGCCCTGCTATGAAGGCATGCAGAAGGCTTTACTAAGCCATGGGTGGAAGGGATCTATCAGCACCTCAGCAGGGTTACAGGGGGCTTTAGGAGAAAGAACATGAGGTGCTGGAGTCAGGCACAGCTGGGTTTTTCTCTAGGATCTGCTACTCATGGAGAAACCTCTGACAAGTCCAGTCACCTCTTGGAGCCTCAGTTTTCACATCCGCAAAGCAGTGACAATAATACTTGCCCCTGCTTAAACCCCATTTCCCTTGGGATAAAGTCCAAAATCCTGAGCCAAGAGTTCATGGCCCTTCAGTACCCTCTTTGACCTCGTCAACTGGCACCCCCTCCCACCATGTCCCCCTCCTATCATTCATCTTGTTCTCTCTTCAGGCCTCTGTCCAAGCTGTTCACATGAGCTCCCTCTCCAAACCAAGCTAATTTCACCCCCAGTGCAGGGCCTGGATCATGGAGGGTGCTCAATAAACTGCAACCAGGCTTTAAAAAGCCAACCTCAGGTTCTTCATCTAGGGGAAGGGATTAAATAACAGCATCTTCCTGAGGAAGTTGTCCTGAGGATGAAATCGATAATGGATGTGAAAATGGCACAAAATTAGCATTAGTAAGTATTAGTTCTGGGGCTATACTAGACTTGGTCTATTAAGCAGGACCTATGATATCTGTGCCCCCCCAATAACCTCAGAAGAAAGGCTCAGTGAAGATGCCAGTTAGCATCCTACTTTGCATATTTTTATGCTATGTATTACTTGATATTTGAAGGAGAGATCAAAAGTTACCTCTGTCTTTTTTAAACTTAAATTTTTGTTTTGAAAAGACCAGCACAGCCCTGCCTCAGTTTTCTCCCCTGGGACATAGAGAAACCAGAAGCTCTTCCTTACAGGGCTGTTGGGTAGGTCACGCTGGACGCGAAATGTACCTGCACCTGTGATCCGGCCCTGTGCCTGGTACAAAGGCTGTCGTTTCAGTTCACCGTGCGCGGAGCAGGCTTAAGCTCACCTGCTCGCCCGCCCGGCCCGTGGTTACACCAGCCTCCCTCTTAACCCCCACCCCGCCCCCAGCGGCCCTACCTTGAGCGTGGCGCCCAGGGAGCGCAGCCCCGTGGAGTGGCGCGCCAGCTTGAGCACGCGGAAGATGCGCATGAGGCGGAACACCTGCACCACCTTGCCCAGGTCGCCGAGCTCCTCGCCGCCCGAACCGCCCTGGTCGCCGAGCGCCGCGCCGGCCACCAGCGTGAGATAGAAAGGCAGCACCGACACGATGTCGATGACGTTGAGTGGGTGGCAGAAGAAGTTCCGCGGGCTGGGCGCCAACAGGAGGCGCGACGACACCTCGAAGCTGAACCAGGCGATGCAGAAGTACTCGAGGCGCCGCAGCACCGGGTCGTCGCGCGCCTCTT